TCAGTACAGAAAATTAACACAAACATACAAATAAATCCATTCATTACGATACGAAAAAAGCGTAATTACGGGTGTGAAATGATCTATCTACTCATTCATGCAAAGAACCGTTAATTTATTTTCATATATTTAGAATGGTGGAAGAATAGTGATTTTTTTATTTTTATTATAAAAAAAAAATCCAGTCTTGCCTTTTTTGTGCCTTTCATTATGAAAACTAAACGTTGACCCTCACCCCCCCCACGAAAAAAAATGTTTCCTAAAACTGGATACTCTATACTTCTGACGTTAAATTCAGAATAAGAAATGAAAAAAGAAAAACCTCATCTCTTTTTAGTCTTAAAATTACTATTCCTTGCGAGCGTTGTTTATATATCTGTCTGAATGACGATACACATGTTTTGGGATTCTTCCTCGCGTTCGTGGGAACCGTCTGCCGTTGCCCCCCCTCCCTCCAAGTCTTGGTGCAGACAGATAAGCCTAAGGGGCGGCACACTTGACACTGCGACTGGGTAAGCGGTGGGACGGGGGTAGATAAACATGAACTCGGCAGTCCAAACCCCTTCTGAGTCACGCGAGACACAAAGGCCCCCATTAGGCTGATTTCGTACCCTTCTGTAACCGTAGCCGATGTTCGCTAATGAAGACAGTCTTCTTAGATTCAGAGAGTATCATATTTGCATTTTTTGTTTTGTCCCAGCGGTAGAGATCGTTCCTTGCATTTGCATTCCGAGTACCTTTTCTTTTCCAGGCTTTTAAATCCTTTATTGAGATTCTAATCCCCCCTCCTCGTCAACGATAACTCTGTTTCTGAATTCTTGGTTCTTATGTCTAACCAGAAAAAATTCGTTCAAATCAATAATGTTTAATTTCAGCAGGAAAAGAAAAGTTGTCGTAACGTATCTGAATCTTCCAGTAACATCAGATAAGTGCATGAATTTTATCGTAGCCAAGAGAAAACTGTTGCGCCTGCAGCTAGCTTGGGTATCTGATAGGTGAGAGTAGGAATTTGTCAAAGTCTGTTCTATTTTATCAAGAAGAATTGCTCGGACGCCCCTCTTTCCCTTCCACCAGCCGCTCGAGGACAGTATTTTAAGTGCCCGAAAGGACACTTCATACTTCGAAAGGACCTCGAAAGGTATACTTTTAAAGGACAATATTTTAAGTGCCCTTTGCGGTAGGGTTTCTTAAACTTTTTTCAGTCGAGACCCCTTTTTATCACTGAGATTTTTTTGCAACCCCCAGGACCCTATAATATTTATAAAAATCTTGTGAAACCCCATAAGTATTGCGCAAATTCGACACGCGCGTTAGTGAAACTGTCAATTTTTTCACTTGTACTGTAATATATTATTGCGGTTTTAGGTCATTAACTTTAATTTCTAATTTTAAAACATAAAACAATGTGAAAATTTTAAGTAAGTAACAGAAGAAATGACAGCAAATGCAAAGCAAGGAAAATGAACGTTTGTATTATAAAAAGAATGCGTCGAAATGTTTTCGTTTTTTCTTTGTCTGTATTGCCTTATCTTTATCTATTTTCAGAAAAATTGTGTAAAAATATTTGGTAATTGTGAATTTATTATAGTAAGTTAAATAAATATCAAAACTATTAAAAATTTTGGTGACCTCCTGCTGCAGGTCCCGCGACCCACAGTTTAACAAACCCTGCATTACGGCAAAGACTCTGTATACTTAGAAACATTTGCACTTTCTCCAAGATTCAAATCCAGACCTAAGGCTATATGAGATTTTGTATTGTTTAACCTAGTTATCTTATTAGTTTGGATATACTTTCAATTCAGTTTTCGCCAGCTCCCGCCAGAATGCAAATTAGGCAACGTATAAATAAGAGCAGAATATTTTAAGCTTTGGAGAGAACTTCTAAGGTTATTATTTAATGTGACTAGTTACTTATAATTTTAATCTTTAACTTCTCTTTTCCGTTATCCTCACCAGAATGAAAATGAGTAGCTAGTATTTAAACTGAGATTTTCAGAGTTTTAAAACGAAGCGTACGCGTGTGTGCTACATTTATTTCCTGCTAGCTCTGATAGTTGCAATTCTTCTGCTTTGCGTTATAGCGCTGCGGACAATTTGATTTTGTCGCTACGGTAAGAACACTGAGCCATCTTCGAGTAGTATCTAAATTATGTAATCTTTCACTACTGTTCCACGTTTAACTTCAATTTGACTGTTCTTTTAGTTGCATCACAACGAGCTGTGGCTGATATTGTTAGTACAAGAGAGCACGCTTATGTGTTGAATTCCGTTTAAATACAAATGTTGTTTAAACCTTCTCGCGACTTGTAGTTGCTTCAGCAGTAATTCGATTTACGTCTGTTGTTGTTATTAGACTAATTACCACGTCCACATCCAGTAAAACCCCCTCAAGCTTTTAGGAGTCTTCTCTGACTGTTACTCTGTTTCGCTTTCCTACTGCCTAATTTTAAACTTTATCGACCAGCCGTTTCCCCATTTACTTCGCTAATACCTAGGTCAAAGTCAGGTCTTATTTAAGGCGCGTTGTATCTTATTCCATATTGAATTTGACTTGAACGCCTTGTTCTGAATTTCTTACGTGTAGCGAAGTTGATTTCCGTTATACATTTAAGTGTCGCGTAACCATCAAGTTGACATGTTAATGAATAGGTTTGATTTTAAAACTGCATTTTGAGTTTGTGATTAATGTAGTTAGTAGATAGATGGGCTGATGAGAAGTTTGTCTTTATGAATCTAGTAATCTGAAATTTAAAAGTATTGTAGTACAGGATCATACAGCTAAGGCAATCGGCTTCCACCATGGCTGGTACATTTTGAAGCAAGGCCGGCACTGTGCAATCCCGAAGGTACATTTGATGTTACATCTTCTTAACTTCACTGGTATTAGAAAATTCATTTCACTCTTCCGTATCTTATTTGTATGCTAAAACTATTATTTTTTTTTTTTGAAAACACCGTGAATTTTTTTAAAATCATCTGTCAGAAGCATAATTAATGGCCATTTACGTGTGGATTTCCCTGCCCTCTTACACAAGTACCTATATAACTTATTAGTTAAAATTATTAGCGTCGTAGCAATAATATTGTTTGTAAAATAAAAATTTAGAATGCAGCTTACCTCTGAGCTTCGAAACATCCGGTTGTAATTCGTGCTCATATCGCAAACTGATGATGTAATGTATTCTTCACCACTTTTTCTTCACATCTAATCACTCTAATCAAATAGTAGCTGTCGAAGATGTTCGCTCTTGAATTCTCAGTTAACACAAAAGCAACAAAAGCGAGGAACAGCTAAATCTAAACCTTCTCATTGCTGTTGGGAAACGTGGGCAGAACTTACTACTAAGTAAATTTTGCAAGGACTTCACTACATCTTCAGAGATGAGAAAACATCTTACATCTATCAAGGTTTTTTAACGCGCATGCCATTAGTTTTACAGGGTGTGACAGCTTGTACGCGGAGGGGGTGGGCCGCAAGAGGGCCCCATCATGAAGGTAGGAGCACTTTTATACAAATTTAACGTGTTTCAATAACAACATTCGAACAGTTTTGCAGAAACAATCCACCTTTATAAAAATGCCATCATTGTTATGGAACTTGTGGTTATTGTCGTTGTTGTGACATGGGACTAATCTCACTTGTCTGAAATGCGAGCAATCCCTACAAATTCATCCTGACAAGGAGTTAAGATTGCGCCTGTCGTTGGCAAGAGCCTTGGCCATAATACAGGTGACAGTGCAACTTTGTTATACAAGTTCAATGAATTTGCATATCTGTACTTCTGGGGCTTTATGAGCTCCCTCCGATTAATCAATTAATTAGCACTGAAGCCAAAATGCAGCTTGCATAACAGTGCTTTTGTATAAATCTTCCATAGCAGTGCTTTTGTAATATGAGAATCCCTTTTTTAAGTTAAAATCTAGTAGTAATTTTTAAAATTGGTTGACTTTGTAGCACTCTAAATATGCTGTTATTTAAGATAAAAGGCCTCTGCGGGTTGGATTGTTAAGACTTTCTTCTCCCGGCAAAATGCAAGTAGCAATTTACTTTTTGGTTGCTAAAACAAAGATTTCGCTTTCAGAATTTTATCCAGTGCTAAATTTGGACAACAGTCGATCGCATTCGATTAGTGTTAATAACAGGGCGTTGATTGGTCGATGACGGCTATCAAACAGAATTTTTTCTAGATCAACGTAAACGTCACGTTTAGAATATCCCTAACGACATTTTGTTCTCTATTTCACTTCTTTCGCGCTCCGTCCCTCCCCCCTTCTTTTTTAATAAGTTGATCACAGCCATAAACAAGTTGGCCATCCGTGATATATTACTGTGATTAATAATCCTTTGTTAAAACGTTCTTTATTTCTTATGTTAAAACGAGATTGTTAATTATGTTAAATTCTCTCACTTATTATGATGTTAATTATGTTACATTTTATCACTTATTATGATGTTAATTATGAGACTGTTAGTTAATTATGTTAAATTCTCTCACTTACTAAATTCTCACTTGTTATTCATGTCTTATTTCTCTCACTCACTTATCACTATTACTCTCATTCTTATGTTAAATGAGAGTTCTTATGTTAAACGAGAACATATTATTTTATTCATATCGGGTTGGCAAGAAAGTAATATCGTTTTTTTTTTTTTTTTTTTTTTTTTTTTTTTTTTTTTTTTTATGTGGAATAAAACTCAATGCTTTCTATACATAAAAAAAAAAAAAAAAAAAAAAAAAAAAAAAAAAAAAACTTTAATCAGTCAAATAACTTCCATTCTACTCGATGACCTTTTGCCATCTTTCTGGTGACTTCATGATTCCGCGCTCATATAACTTTTATTGGTCTTTCACACGATTTCCTTTGCGATTTGCCGATTCTGGGCTTTTTCCTTTGATTGCTACCTCCTGTGTCATAAGTTGTTGGCAGTAAACATCTGAATAGATCGTTGGTTGTTTGGAAGCACCTCAAAGTACACATGTAATCCCACAAAACTGTCAGCCATTGTTGATCCATTTTTGATCACGAATGACAATTCGTTTGAAAAAGGGGTTGATTGCATTATGTTTGAAATGTGTATCACAAATATCGACTCGTTGTGTTAAATGAATTTCTTTCATGTGAAACCCAAATATCGAGCTTCTTGATGATCCAAGACATCTTATGTGATTTTCAGCAATCTTCTTGCACATTATATGACGATTCGATTCATGTATGGCTTTAATACTGTCATCATCAACTTCAGAAAGTCGGCTACGACGTTGGTCACCTTTAAGTGAAAAATCTCCGGAATGAAATTGTTTAAGCCAATTCTGACACATGTATTCTTTTAAGGAATCAACACCATAAACTGCAAGCATCTCTTTGTGATCCTTTCTGTGACTTTTTACCATAATGAAAATAAAGAAATGAAATATGTCGAAAATATTTATTTTTGCACCCCATATTAAAATTGATTATAAACTAACAGTTGTATACAAAAATGCACGGAATTTATTTCTGTGCCAACCTAAAAGTGCCTGATGCCAAATCTCCAAAAGAATAAAGTCTGATGTGTACACTGTATGACTTCTTTGTACGAAATATTAAATTATACGAAATATTTTTTCCTTGCTGCATTTCATTTAAACGTATTTCCTTGAATTTCATTAGAGATATATATATCTGATTCAATAATTTCAGCTCTCACTTCGCAGCAAGGCAAAAATATGTAAAACTTCAAAATATTTTTATTAAAAATTGAAAAACATAGAAAAATATAAAACATCAAATACAGTTAAAAAAACAATTAAAAATAGTTTTTACAATTAAAATTAGAGTTTCTACGGGGGAAAAAAAAAATTCGGCCAGTGGGCAGAAAGGCAGATTTTTTTCTGTGCACAAAACTGAAAAATTACTTTTGATCTCCTTCGGCAAAACGACACTGAAGGTGCAGAACTTACTTAATTCACTATTCTGCTAAGTTTCAAATGTAAAGAAATATGGCTATTATGGTTAAAAAAAAAAAAATTAAGACTTAGCCGCACTTAAACGACTTTTGAATTGTTCGTAATGCTACAACTACTGCATACAGATTAACTAAAGGCATAAGAACCTTAACCAGAAGATAAGAGCAACATAATTCAATTATTTTGAAAGCTGAAAATGCACAATTTACGCACATATAAGAATAAAAAAAGTGAGTTCACGCAGTCGAGTAACAGAGTGGTGGTGCACAAACCACATGTTATACACTATATACAAAATTTCAAAGTTCTCAGGCTACTCTTTTTTCAGTTATCCGAGATACATACATATATACGTACGTACGCACAGACATCACTAAAAAAAATCTCTTCTGAGTCCGTTTTAAATCCTTTTTGCAACTCGTTTTGGGAAAAAGAGTGATTTATTCTGACCGTACGGTACAGATGTCACTCAAAAACATCGTTCAATTGCATTCGATAGCGGTCAAAATGGATATTTTCGTTGAAATATGATACTTCCTTTACTTCGTACATGTAAGTAAAAAGGAAAATACGTTAAAAAATTTGTTTATTTTTTCACCCCTTGTTAAAACTGACTGTAAACTAGCAGTTGTAAACAAAAATCCACGGAATTTGTTTCTATGGCAACGTGAAAGTGTCAGCTGCCAAATCTCAAAAGAAAAATATTATAAGATTGACAGAAGAACAACAAAACGAACATAACGCTATCTATTTGTGCAAACCGAAATTTTTTTCTTGCCAAACCAATACATTAAGTAATCCATTTTTCATGGAGGTCACTTCTTGATTACGATTTCTAATCATGTATTTTTTGCACCACAGTTAGTATCAGAATTTAATCAGATAGAGTCTTTTATCCTTGTAACAAGATATTCGAATCCTGCTACTGCCGATTTCGAGCGTCACTTTGACACAATCGTGGAAGGACAAAAAGGGGCGGTTGCGCGTGGGTTCTGACTTTCTCTCACCACACCTTTCAAAACATGGCTTGAACATTCGAATAATCAAGTGACATTTGTGCAGTAGACGGATTGAGTTGTTTAATTATCCTCTGGACCTCCGCAAAAGAAGGCCTACTGAAGTGTGGACCGACCGCGTAGGTTTCGAAGGTTATTTTGTTTAACGTTGCTTGGACACAATTATAGCAGCTTTGTAGGAAAACTTGTAACGAATGTGTAGAATGATTTCATACTTTTGATTCCTGAAGTGTTTTGATCCGATAAATTACTCGCAACGTTCCATCATCTGTGGTAATTAATGCTTGGGAACGCACGAGTAGCTGGGAAATATTGATAAACCAAAATTGATAGTGTGTGTCTGGACGTGTTGCAAGATTAAGCGTAGAAAAATCAGTAAGCACTAAAATTTTTGACTGTAAGACAACAGGAAATAAAAAGTTGTGGAAGAACCAGGCTGAGATTGCTCCACGACGATGGAAATGATTTAATTTTATCAGTATTCAAAAGTGGAAAGCACTAGCCAGTAGGAAAACATATGGCAACAGCATTCTGAAATACACCCTGTCGTGCTGCTGTTTTTGTTGATAATGATTAAATCTTTAAAAAAATGAATTTATTTTATTAAAAAAAAGTCTGAAACCTTTCAGATTTTATATTAAGCCCCGAGGAGCGTTTTGTGTGTTACTTTATTTATTAAAATCATATTCTTGACAGTTAAGCCATGAAATTCAATTCAACAGCAATATCATAAAATAACTAAATTCACCTACAAATTAAGTTGACGGTTCGCAGGTCACAAAAGAGAAGTAAAAAAATATCATTGTTTTCTTGCACAAAACTTATCAATTAATTGATTCAACTTATCAATTAAAAAAAGAGAAAAAAATGATGAAAGGTTTCAAATTTTAAATTACGTTCAAATGAGCTTTTTTTTTTTTTTTTTTTTTTTTTAAATATTTTGTGTGTGTTACCTTTATTTATTAAATATCACGTTCTTCGCACTTAAACTATTAAATTCAGTTCAAGAGCAATATCGCAATATAATTTTAAAATGAGCATAGCTTTAGAATTTGCGATACACAGTCTCGCGCGCTGGAGATAAAAAAGTTTTTTCCTTGTGCAGTGTTGCCATTGTTCGCTTTGAAATCGTTGAGTTTGTTAATCAAAAACTACAAATACTAAACAGATAATGAAACAAATTTCAAATTTTAACTTGGGCTTCCAGGTGCCCATATTCGAGTAGAAGACTACGTTATTCAAAATTTTGAGTCTCTAGGTTACCGTTGTTTTTTCACAGTGTGAGAAAAACACATACGCCCATGCAGATTCTTTATTATTTAATTTCTTTAAATATAATGCAGTACTCTAATATTTGGTGGCAACAATTACAGAAGTGAAACTCCGTTTATACCGAACCAACGCAAAATGCGAAAAGGAAATTAATAGCCCTTCTGGGCAAATTACCCCTTTGGGCTAAAAAACAATTAAATCGATTTCCAAGCCATGCTTTCATAACCGTTTTAATTTTAAAGGCTTTCGATGTTGGGAAGATTTTATATCGTTCCAAGAATTATCATTTTCAATTTTCATTACAGTTTTCCTTAAGAGTATGAGAAAATATCGAAAACAGGATTCGAGAATTACCCAACACATGCTTTTTTCAGTGTCGTAATCTATGACGGAAATATGGTTTCCTGCAGTACCTTGGGCATTTTGTGATTACATCAAGGATAAAAGTTCATACACCGCAGATGAAACTGTCGAAACAGCACCTTATTCTGTGGCCGTCTGATGTTATCCATCTCTTTGGGATGTTTTTGTTAATATTTTATTGCTCTCGAGGTTGAATATGACATCTGCCGGGAAGCTATCGAGTATCACTCAAGGACGCGAGCGACGATTTTTTTAACATCATTGTTATTTATTTTTTTCTTTTTTAATTTTTTTAATGACATTTTTATTGATTCTTCCCACTAGCTTCCTGGGTGCTAGTTTTCGTCATTTATCTTCACTTGCTAGGGAACAGTTGCAGTTACAGTTTCGTGTTGCTCTAGTTTTTAAATTTTATTTAAGTCTTCGAAACGGTAATATTAAAAATATTTTTACAAAATAGTCTGCTTTAAAAATATATCTTCTTGTCATCCCATTATTATTATTATTATTATTTTGCAAAATATTTTGGATTTTCCCCAAATTTTATTTATGTGTTACTTTTTCTACTGTACGCGTCGTTCATTCTTTAAAAACAATATAAATATTAGAATTTTGGGGAAATTGATGCCATTTCTTATTATTGTGGTTTAACGTGTATCGAAGTAAACTAAGGCCACGCTGCATTAAAACGCGAATTTTATGTTATATAGGGAGCTATAAATAAATCATCCATAGGTAAACATTATCGGTCTATAAGTCATAATTTTAGTTTTAGTTCCTTTAAAATTCTCCAAAAGACGTTTTTGGTTGGAGAATTAAATTTTCTGACACTGTTTCAGGTTCAGCAATATTTATCAATTTAAGTTAATGATATTAATTTCAATGCTTTTTTTAAATAAATTCTGTCAGAGTTTTTTAATCTTTTCATTTATGTTTTATCGGGTAGATGGCACTAGAATTGTTGCTTCCTCTATTCTGCTTATCACATTTCGTCTATAAATGATACATTTTGCATAAATGACGCAAAATACTTTAGCTTCTTCAAACTGAGGCTTTGTCCTTTCTAAAAATGCTTAGACCTTTTCTATGCAACCATGCTAGTTTGCTATGCTAGTTTGAGGTTTAGTTTTGCCTTTTCGAGAGGTTAATTAAATTACTATTACTTGGGGACCAGAAATTACGTACTTTTAATATATAGGGTATTTCAGACAGTGCTGATGAGATCTGACGATCATGCTGGCCAATCCACCGGACCACGCTTGCCGATCCCACGTTGGCGATACGTTTCGAACATATTCTTTGATGACGATGGTCTGTTTTTATGTTTATTCCTCGGTTTCCGCTGCAGTAAGCATAATAAACATATATTCTTACCCTGTTCCTGTCGTTCCCTTCTAGTGTTTTGTGTCATCACCTCCGCGCAGGAAAGCGTTTCCGACCATACGTTGCTTTGTGTTTTTCCATTGTTTAAATGTACTCTATCTCTCCTGAAAGTCTGTAACCGATTTACTGCAGTTACACCCTATATTTATAGTAAATTTACGAGTATTTATAAATAGTATAACTGATATTTATATATTTAATATAAGGTTGGATTTTTTTGGGGGGGGGGCTCTTGTAAAGTTAATTTTGATGCAGGTGACCCGTTTTCCGGTTAATTGATTTAAATGATCTATGAGAAAGCATAATCATATCAAATATATGTGAAATGAAGTGATGAGCGTTTGCTTATCTGATTCTGTAAATGAGCATTTTAGGAATTTTATTTTTACCTTTTATATTAATGTCAACTGA